ATTGCAATATGAATTTTTTAAATACCTTAAGGGCATGGAGAATCCATTACCATTACTTTTCAAATGCTCACCTTGTGCTGGCTTTTATTACAGAAGCAGAGAGTTTCCTTTCTACTTCCTTTTATTTTTAAATCTATATTTTTGTCCTCTTGGTTTTTAATTTTAAAACAATGTTCAGTCTTAATTTGGATTTCTATGAGAGCATGGTTGTAGCTTAAACAGATGCAACAACATTAAATATCAAGTTAAGCAGCTGTCAGCAAATCAAATGGAAGGGACACAGATGTGCACACACTAGTAATGTTTTATACACTCTCATGAAAAAGAAAAACAGTTACAATACAGATACCAGAATTTAACAGAGGTGGTTCACAGAAGGTAAGTCTCCTGATAGTGCTATGCTAAAATTTGTTAATTCTTCTTCCCCATATAAGATATTTCTCTCTTTCTATCTCATTCTCAAGATGCTTTAGAATTGATTCTGAATTTCTTTCAGTGGTGTCTTTCTGCTCACCTTACTTGAGATGGCTTAGAGTGATGTATACACTTGTTTTTCTTTTATGCATATTTCTAAAGCATGGCAGCCTTACAGTTGTATGAGCTTCCTGATATGGAATATCCCTATGGGAAGAATTACCTCATATCATCTTCTTCTGGGATTTAGTTGAAGTGTGGGAAGCCAAGGAAGTTGCAGATGGCCAGAGATATTATGGTACTATGAAAGATTCTCCCCTTGACCACCTTGCAGTTCATATAAATGCAGGTCCCCACAAACTAGCCATGAAAATTTCCCAAAGTTGCCTTTGAAAACAAATGCATTCATATCCCCCCCCCAAAAAAAACCCAATTTTGTCTTCCATCACATTGAATGAGAATGGTTGAAAAGAATGACAAATAAATTGCTGGCCCACCATTAGCTAATATTTATATCAGGTCTGGCCAAACCAGAGAATTCATTATGGCAGCAAATGACAACAGTCAATATCACACTGTGTCCCATTTCCTTTGATGCCCAAATAAGACCTGAGTATAGACTGCCCATGGACAGAGCAATTCCATGCTCATCCTAAAATCCAGTTCCAGTTATGTCCCTGGTGTAACTGATACTGAGAATGCTTTGGCTATGAGTCTATTATCAGAACTTTTATCAACTGTTTTTAAAAAATAAAAAAAATATATTCTTTATTGATAAAAGAAACATAAATACACAGCAACACAGAAAAAGAAACTTATACATATGTATATTAGTAAACGCACTAGCACATTAATTGACACACTAATAACATACACAGGAAGAGACTTTCAGCTTTCTTTTGCAACAGTATTTAACTTAAACCTTCATGTTTCTTCTTACCACATATAGCTAAGCAATTGGGGAAAAAATCACCTTAACTTTTCTCATATGTAAACTATGATCTTAGCTTTAAACTAACAACTGTTTTTTAAAATGTCTATAGGTTGAAAAAGTGGAAGATTGAAAAACTAGAGGGAAAGCTGATTGATGTCACTTAAATTGTTTTTATTGTATTTTTTTTAAATTTCTTAATATAGAAAAAATAATTCTGGATTGTGGGTATGCCATCCTTGTATATGTGTTTTGCATTACAAATTATGGGTAATGTTTCCAGTCACTGTAACAGAGGACCAGAACTCCATTCACATTTTGCATAATAATAATAATAATAATAATAATAATAATAATAATAATAATATCCCACCCTTTCCCCAAAACTGAAACTCAGGGTGTCTCACAACATTTAAAAAATACAATTAAAAGCATACAAAATAGTTCATTAAAATAGAATTAAATTATTACAATATTAAAACAAGTTGCATGTTAAAATAATCAAATACAATTAAAAAGATAACAATGTTAAAAATACTTTAAAACAATACAACCCACCACATCCCATGCTTTAAATACATTCTATTTTATTTATGTAAAGAGCCTTCCATTTTGTCAATAATAGATTTATTGGTTTGTCATGAAGATTTCTGTTTCTGTGATGTGTGCTTCAAGTTGTTTCTGGCTCATGGTAACCCTAGGGCAAACCGATCATGGAGTTTTCTTGGTGAGATTTGTTCACATTTTTGGACATTCTCTTCATCTTGAGGTTGAGAGATTTAGAAAGATTTTCATGACTGTGCAGGGATTTAAACCTTGATCTCAAGAGCCTTAGTCCAACACTCAGACCACTATACCATGCTGACCCTCAGTTAAGAAAGAAGGAATGTTTGAATTGTACAGTAAGTTAACATTCCAGCCTCTTTAGTGTTTTAATAGCTTTTAGTTTTCAGGTAATTGTCTTTTATGGTAGCTTTTTCATTGTTCAATCAAATGCTTTTCATACAATATTCATACTTTTCCACTGGCCTCTTCATACATTTCCATTGCTTCTCTAACTCCATGCTAACATTCTCTCTCTGTTTTCCAAATGTGGTGGTTCAGTCATTTGTGTTTTTTTTCTTTGAATTTTTTATTCAAACAATATACTATCTCTACCCTCTCCCCACCCCAAACAAAATCTATAATTTTACAGCACATCTCAATTTTTTTTCAATCAGCAGTTGATGGAACTGGCCAACAAATCAGGTTTCCTTTTGAAACAAGGCATGCTCCCTGTGCAGGTTGTTTACTTGTAGAATTGTGCTTCCAGGAGGTTTCTGGGAGTACAGTTCCATTGGTAAACAAGGTATACAGTGAGCACATATCTTGTTTTAAAGGGAAAAGATATTTTTGCCAATGCCATTGAAACAGCAAATGTGGTAAGAGTGCATGGGACCAAGAAAAGGGACACAAAATGGAATAAGTGTGTTGCCTATCCCTCATTTAAAGGGGGGAAATTGTTGAGACAATATTATGCATATTTACTTGAGAGTATTTTCCATTTAATTGATGCATGCAGCATTGTGGTGTAGTCCTTGGTAAAATTATGAGAGCTTCTGGATGTGGCTTTTATAGTGTTGTTCCCCTGAATGAAAAAGAAAATTTTACAAGAGCTCCAGATGAAATTATCTTCCATTTTAACCAGCTCATGTATTCTGTGTTTTTTTTTATCCTGTCCTTTTTCCTTCTCACCCTTTCCCCAAAAAAGCTGTTAGAGCAAGACAGAATAAATGTAGAATGCAGATTGATTGATAGTTCTATGAGCTGTCTCTCTGGAAACAACCTAGGATATAAATTGTCCAAGTCCCCAAACAATAAACTTGCATTTTACACATTCAGCTATCCTTAATGGTCATTTACATACTTTCTCTGCTTTAACACTTGGATGACATCCCTGGTGTTTTTATAATGTAGTTTAAAAGTTCCCCTGTAGTAATTCCTTCTTTTCTTTACTGTACTTAGAATTTTATCTGATCTTCTGTTTTGATGGGGGGAAATTTATTAGCAAAAATGTTATTTAAATTCATGCTTAAGAAACACAAGTTAGTTGGGAAGCTGTCAAAAATGAAAAGACTTTTTGGGCAAGCCTTAAATGCATTCATTCATTATGCATGCCATGAATATATAACTAGAACCATGCAGTAATAATAAAGACAGGATTAAATTGCAAGGTGCCTGCATTGTGTAGCTCCATTTATAGCTGCCCTTATATTGATTATATATACTTTTTATAGCAGATCTTGACAAAACTGTATAGGGGAAGACAGCATCTGGAGGCCAGTGTTTTTTCTATCTTTCTATTTCTGCTTCTAATGCATACTACGCATAGTATTACAATTTTCTTACTATTTTAATTTTGTATCTTGCAAATGGGACCTGAATGATTCATTCCCTGATTTGTAGTCTCTAGTCCTGTGGAGATGACTAAATGTTAAGAATAATCAACATGTGGAAAGGGAAGTAGGTCTTGTCATCTGTTTCCATCTGTATTAGAATTTCTGGGTTGGATCCAAAGAAAATAATTAGTTATATTTTAGTCTCACTGAAATCAATCTAATTAGTTAGTCATGACTTTCTCAACTATGGCTAAATTGATTTCAAAAGGACTAAAATTCTATGATTTCATTGAGATGAAAGTGAGTCCACCTTTTTATAATTCCAGTGGACATTTATACTATATATGAAAACATAGAGGGCACAGACTACAAGAAATAGAGTTTACCCCTATGTTGATCATTCTCAAATTTCATGGCCAACCGTACTATTAGTAGGGTAAAGTAGTTCCTTCAGAGTGGATATATAAGATGTGACAAAAGTATAACAAAGGGTTAGTAATTTAATTTGTTTTTGCCAGGACAAAGAATGAGAGTTGTTGCTGTTTGCGTGGTTATGCAGTGCATGATGATCCACGTCAACATGTAGCACCAGGAGAAGGTGCACAATCTTCTCAGGTGCAGGCCACAGCGTGTCAGCTGGAGAAGCACCTCTCCCCTTCCAGATAGAGTAAAGAGACTCCACAGACAGACATCTCTCAGATGAGGCTTTAATCTTAGTTCCTCAATGTACAAGGCTATATGCAGCAACATGACTGTCCAACTCAACAACCACAATCCACCATCAATCTCCCATATGTGTGTCCAGAGGCTTCTGCTTTATATAGCCAGGGCTCCACATGGCCTTCTGGACTGCCTCTTCCTGTGAACACCTGTCACTCACCTGAGTGACTCTGCAGTTTTGCAGCAGTTCTCTGTGCTTTACAGCACCAGGTGACTATCTCCATGATGTCACTTCCCATGACACAGCATGAGTCAGCATGGCTCATCTGCAATCAAATGCTGTGTCATCATGGCTGCTGCTATTCCCCATATTGTACATTTTCCCCTGGGACTCCTTCCTAACAGTTGCCTCATATATGAAAAATATCTTGGGTAGCTTTGGATGCACCTTGATGGGAAATTGAGAGCAGTATATGCTGCTTTACTTCATATTGCAAAATGTCTTTGGCCATCTCTGCTACATAAAGTAATATCTGCAGGATTGCTCTTATACTTTCATGAATGTAAAGGTTTATGTCTCCAAGTATCTGTTCATAATATTTTTTAATAAAACGAGAACTAGTGTGATATAGTGGTTTGTGTATTAGATTAAGACTCTAGAGACCAGGGTTTGAATCCCTGTTCAGCCATGGAAACTCACTTGGTGATCTTGGACAAGTTACCCTCTGTCAGCCTTAAATGAAGGCACTGGCAAACCCACTTTGAAGAAATTGTGCCAAGAAGCCCATGTGATAGGTTCACCTTAGAATTATCATAACTCAGAAAATGACATGAAGCCACACAACAAGAAAAAAACATAGTTTGAAATATGCATTTAAATTCTTCAACCCTGAGCACTGAAATGTGCCAGTCTGAGGAGTGTTCACATGCATTCATGCACTCACATAGTAAGACTCCACACACATCCTAATGAATTTCAGATGTGGGCACTGAAGCTTAAATACACCATTGTTTCAAAGAGAAGAGGCAAAATTGAGAATATTTATCTTATGTCTGCTTCTGTTGTAAATAAATGTGCCCCACTCACCGGCCAGCCTGGTTGCCTCTGGGAGGGAAGCCACTGGCAGGGAACATCCTGGTCCCAATAGAGCCCCAGCAGGCTTTGTGGTGGGCTGGCTGGGCTCAAATTGGCTAAAAGGGGCAAAAGGAGGTGGTACGTCCTGCCCCAGCACCAGGACTACATTTCTCAGCAGGCACTGGAGGTGGAACAACCACCCAATTGGATGGTGGTGCATACAAGTGGTGCCTGGGATTGGTGGAGGGGCCAGAATGAGTGGAACATCCCCCCCTTTCTGGCTCCTGATTGGTTTGAGCGTCTATTTAAGGCCACGTGGCATGCAAGGATAGTGCCATTCCAGCTTGGTTCTACACACCTTTTCTTTCTTTATTTGGAAAAAGGGGCTGTGCTGTCACATCTTTCCAGGCGTGATAGCATAGGTCTTGAATCTGGCAGGCATGGTTTCCAGGGCTATGTAGCACTGAATCGGGAGTCCAATGGGGACCTGAGGGTTCTGGGAGCATTGTGGTGTTGCCATTGAGGGGACAACACCAATTCAGCATCCTCTGGTGACAAGAGGTAAAGATATAGACATGTGATCAACTGGTTACCTGAGATGCAGATGGTGATTAACTGGTCACCTCTTTTGTCATCCCGAAGCTTGGCCATGGCCAAACAAATGGGTTCATTGATCAATCAGGGGATTGGTTGCTGACAGATCTAAACTTCTTGCTTTGTGGATCAACCCTACATTGCATTAAAGCTGTTATCAATAAAGTTGTGGCCTTTTCCTTCCAATTGGGATTCAATTGCAGTCATTCTTGCAGCGACTGCCCTCCATGGCAAATAATGTTACTCTGTAGTTTTTTTTTTGTGGGTTTTTTCAGGCTGTGTGGCCATGTTCTAGAAGAGTTTCTTTCTGACGTTTTGCCAGCATCTGTGGCTAGCATCTTCAGAGAAAACTGAAATGTAAAGGCATGGGTGTATATATACTGTGAGACCCTGGGTAGGGAGGAGTGGTTCCCAGGTGAACTGTGTGTTGTTCCCTGTCCTTCGCTGAGCGCAGCATTTGTTGGATTTTCTTGGTTGGTTTGTAAACTATTTGGAAAAATAGTTTACAAGAAAAAAAGTTTACAAGAAAAATAGTTTACAGAAAAACCCAGAGGACTGAAGACAAGCAGCCACCCAAAGGGAAGA